AGAAAGAGAGAGAGAGAGAGAGAGAGAGAGAGAGAGAGAGAGAGAGAGAGAGAATGGGGAGGGGGGGATTTGTAATCACATCCTTCGGGATTTAGCTTTTACCTCAATCACACGTGCAGAACTATAAACCCCTGCTGCATTTACTTCTATCACAACTCCCTTTTCTTCCAAACTTTTATGTGGCATCCATATGTGCATCCAGCTTTCTATCCTGTACCTTTGACTGCAATTCTTTGTGTCTCGTATGGTTAGAAATTTGACAAACATAAACGTTTTAGGCTTGATCCCGAGTTTTACAAGTTGCCTAATGTATTGTAATAACTTGATTTCTCATCGATAGGCCATAAACCTTATCTCCGAACTTGTGGAAATTCTTGCCTCGTAAAGCGCGAAATGTCTATGAAAGTAGGGACAAAAACGTCCAGGCTCACTTGCGCTGATCTGGATTTTCTCAACATAATTTGAACACCCAAGTTTCGCCTCCAAGCATCCTCTTATTACGCAAGATCTGATAGAAATAGGGGACATGAAAACATGCTTATATTGCCACCTCATCGTCGATCCTTCGTCATTTGGCAAGGAAGATATAGCTTCCCGGTTTTACGAGTCGCTAAAGCGAAGCCAATTTCTCTTTTGATCTGATTGGTTTTTTAGATTTAATTTTTGCCTTAATGGATGTCCCTGTCACGTTCAAGGTGACTTTGTGTAGAGTCCAACTGCGTGTGTTTTAAATACTTATTCATGTGTTTTCTTGAAACGATAATTGAGGGGAGACGTATGGGTGGTCTCACCATGGTTGCCTGTGGATCGATTTCAGGAGCACAGTGAAAGCGTCTTTTTAGGAAAAAAGCTGTCACAGTAACGCCAAAAATCAATCAGTATGTTTACCGTAGAAAGTAAAAAAAATAGAATAACAGAAACGCGAATAAAGTCGTAGTTTGGACCTAGCAGTAAAACGAACATAACGGATTGAAGAAAGATTTAGTAGCCTTTGGTAAAGTTTTAGGAGTGGATAATGAATGGTCAGATTTGAAATCAGGGCCGTACCCATTTCGTGTTATTGAAAGACACCTCACCCATATTGTCCTTTCTGCCTATTGACAATTGTGACAGACTATAAAAAAGATTTATTGGGTCAAGAAGTTTGTGTATGAGCGCCTGTAACATGGCACCTGGCGTGGAAAACTTCCCGAGAAATTCGGAATACCGCAGAGTTGAATGGGGGTGGGGGGTGGGGGGTGGGGGGGGGGGTAAATCGTCAAACGCATAGAGCTTGTGTTCTTGTAGGAATAATACGCTACGTCTGTAAACAATGAACAAGTCGAAAATTATTAACGTAATATGCCCGTCATATATATTTATACGTACGGAAATTTGAGAAATTGTTTTGTAGAGCGTAACACCTCTTCAAATCTAGCCCTCCTTATCAATGAAAAGAAAAAGGATTGAAGTGAGAACGCATGAAAGATAAAAAAGGAATACTTTACAAGTGAAATGGAAGGCAGCAATACTTGATATCGTTTCCTTGTACATCATTGTATAACTCATTCTGCGTTATGCTCCTTTCTACTTCTTAAGCACCGACTCAAGAGCTTTGATGAGATTTGACACCGGCAAGTGGGTAAATCTGTCTCATCGATCGTTTCCTTGCTGAGGGAGAAATCGTAAAGTCTTGAAGAATGAGCAGACGGCAGACTAATAGTCGTCTTTATGTTTGGAGTGGGTGGTCTTTGGATGGGACTTTGTTGCTCTCAACAGAATACATGCTCTAGAGGGAGAAAAAATGGAGTATCTTTAAAACGCAATCTGTGATGTTGGCAATACCCCAAAAAAATATGATAAAAACGATATATTCAAACGTTTTGCTTTTATTCGCTTAGAGGACAATCAATAATCACCTTGTCAAAAGGTACCTCTGAAGAGGCTTACTTTTACTAATTGACTGAAAGGTTATCCTCGTGATCAAGAGGTCTGACATCCACTCGAAGACTTCCTTTGGGTGAGAATTTTTATTTCTCTATGATATCGTATCCAGCTCTGATGACTGGGGGAATTTTTTATCGGTCTTGAAAAAACACGACTCTCATTATCTTAGACAAAACGAAAGAGAACCTGTGAAATATGATATCGTACCAGTTTCGTACCTGGCTCTTCTCATGAACAGGTTCGATGTCTAAATGGCATATCAGTCACCAGGCAATGTTTCAGATCCATTGGCACAAGAACAGTATCAATGCCTTGCTCATCTTGCGTCCAGATGGCGTTAAGATCTAAGCAGGCTTCACTCGCTGTCAGATCGCTTTCAGCGCCTGTCCTCCTCAAAAGGGCAATCCTAAGAAGCCTCAATGGGATAGGATGATCCCAGGGATTTTTTTTCTTTTGTCTGTTCCGCGTTTGCTCGACTGATATCCCGGAAGGAGATCCGGCACCTGTCAAGACAAAAACAAAATATAATTGATGTAGAAAGGCTGATCTGTGTTTTCCCCTATGGGCCTTGTTA